TTCGATATAATAGTACACAAGCAGACTATAAGCAAATATTTGACCTTGTTAAATTTGAAGGGGGATGAAAGAGCCATTAAAATGGGTCTGTGTATTCTCTCTGATGAGCTTGGAGATACTCCCTGTCAAGTGTGGCAGCAGCCGAGAACCTTATATATATATATATATATATATATATATATATATATATATATATATATATATATATATATATATATATATATATATATATGTTGTACCTAGTAGCCAGAACATCGTACTCGGCCTACTATGCAAGGCCTGATTTGCCTAATAAGCCAAGTTTTCCTGAATTAATATATTTCCTCTAAATTTTTTCTTATGATGAGATAAAGCTGCCCATTTCATTACGTATGAGGTCAATTTTTTTTTAATTGGAGTTAAAATTAACGTAGATATATGACCGAACCTAACCAACCCTACCTAACCTAACCTAACCTATCTTTATAGGTTAGGTCAGGTTATATAGCCGAAAAAGATAGGTTAGGTAGGTTAGGTAGTCGATAAATACTTAATTCATGAAAACTTGGCTTACCTGGCAAATCGGTCCTTGCATAGTAGGCAGAGAAGTGCGTTCTGGCTACTAGGTACGACATATATATATATATATATATATATATATATATATATATATATATATATATATATATATATATATATATATATATATATATATATATATGGGGTCACCTTGCTACCTTGGAAGGATGGTAAGCAAGTGGTATGGGACTACACGTGCGCTGCCACACTGGCCAGTACCTACCTCCACTACAGCACACGTGAAAGCGGTGGTGCTGCTTCTTTCAGGGAATCGCAGAAAATTATTAAATACAGAGGTCTAGCACACTGCTACAGCTTTGTTCCGATCGGCTCGGAGACCCTCGGTTCGTGGGGAAAATGTGCATTGAAGTTCCTGAAGGAATTGGGGGACAAATTGATCAGCGCTACAAAAGACCAGAGAGCAAAAAGTTTCTTGTTCCAGCGCCTCAGTGTTGCGATTCAGAGGGGAAATGCCTGTTGCGTCTTGGGCACTAGTCCAACTTCAGAGGAATTCGAAGAAGTGTTTGACTTGCAACAATGATCGAACCCGTCTGTGACATTCATCAATGTTTCCCATTGTTGTGTTCTTCAAGAGATCCATAACCTTTAAGCACGTATATATATATATATATATATATATATATATATATATATATATATATATATATATATATATATATATATATATATATATATATATATATATATATATATATATATCTGATATTAGTGAAACAGTAAAGTATTGGACGTGAGAGAATTTTAAATGACGTAACAGATTATCTGAGTATTTTTTCCTAATCTTCGAGGATAATCTGAGGGAGTTGTTAATCTTTGTTAGATACAAACCATCGTTTCTGTCAGACTTTATCAAGCTCTTGAGGGACACTATATTACTGAGTACATGTAAAGTACATGAGTACGTGAAAGGCACTCAACCTGAGCACTCAGGTCACCAGTGAAGGCACTCAACCTTCACTAAGTGCACCAGTGAAGGCACTCTACCTTCACTCAGTACACCAGTGAAGGCACTCAACCTTCACTAAGTGCACCAGTGAAGGCACTCTACCTTCACTCAGTACACCAGTGAAGGCACTCAACCTTCACTAAGTGCACCAGTGAAGGCACTCTACCTTCACTCAGTACACCAGTGAAGGCACTCCACCTTCACTCCAGTACACCAGTGAAGGCACTCAACCTTCACTCCAGTACACCAGTGAAGGCACTCCACCTTCACTCCAGTACACCAGTGAAGGCACTCCACCTTCACTCCAGTACACCAGGGAATTAAAGGGTCGTGATAAGTGACCTTGATATAGCGACCTTTCCCATGCACGCTGGGTTATAACGGGCAGTATTTTACTTCAGTATACCGTTAACATTCCGTTCGTATCCTTCAATAACGGCTTCGAATTGTATGCTGTTGTAGTATATCTCCTTAATCTATCCGAGTGTATGCGTGTGTATGTTTCTCCTTGACGGGAACAATGAATCTACATGTAAGGTAATCGTGGTATCATTAGGCCTATTACTGACCCCCCGCCCCCCCCCCCCCTCTCACGACAGAATCCACAACATTCTCCTAATTTCAGGGTATCAATTGCTTCCTAGGTGAACAGACCCATTAGGTGGTAGGATATGTGCCCAACCGTCTCTAGCCTACCGCAGGAAATGCACCCGGGACACTAGTTGAGGAGCCGTCGCAATAGATCACTGAATGTTGTAAATACACATTAATGTGTATTTACACAATTATCTATGTAAGGAAACATAGATCCTACATAAATCGATCAATTTATGTAGGGCCAGACGTAACTCTGTGTATCTGGGTATATATGTCTGTAGGTTAGATTAACATTTTAAAAGCACTACAATCACCTTCTGTGGTTGATTGTTCAATAAATCCCTGAACTATATGTTTAACAGCTCTCTCACCCTGTCCATGGAGGACAGAAGAAAATGTATATATTCTGGTTAGCATTGTAAATGTCTGGCCACGTCTGTGGTAGAAAATAATAATAATAAACTGAATGTTTATGCATGATGTTGTATGCAAGTGGAATGTGTGTGTGTGTGTGTGTGTGTGTGTGTGTGTGTGTGTGTGTGTGTGTGTGTGTGTGTGTGTGTGTGTGTGTGTGTGTGTGTGTGTGTGTGTGTAGGGTCGCTGTATCTTATGACATTGCGGACGTGTGTGTGTTTCTGACCACATGTGTACTCACCTAATTGGTGAGTACACATGTGTGTTTGACCATGTGTGTGTGTGTGCGTTTACCACGTTCCAGTACGTATTAAAGTAATCATTCCCTCATACGAAAATCGCATTCATTAAAAGCCGGCCCGTTCCAGCTTTGGACCTCATCCCGCATATTGTTGGGAAACCAACTTGGTTCATCAGCGCCCGCGACTCAATATGACGAGGAGCCTCTCCTTTGTCCCCAGAGAGGCGGGAGTCTGATGAAACAACTTGTTTGGAAATGTGTAATCAACGAGACTCAGGGTCTTACATATCCACCGCTCTTCATGTTGTATAACTCCAAACAAACGTTTTCCCAGAAAAAGATTAAATATCGCGTCGGTTTTTATGTTTAGAGAGTTGATAACAATGAAATAAATTTAGTTGTTTATAAGACTCTAGTGAAGATATCACAACTTTAAATAGACAATTGCTTCACAATCACGCCGATATCCAACGATATCCAAACTCCCGAATCACGTAGTATCAAAAGGAGAAATAAAGAGAATAAAAGCATGTACAAATGGCAGGTGGGGTAGGCATGATAACTGTCTTCTGAAGATTGCCATGATATCCTTTTCTGAAGATTGCCATGATATCCTTTTCTGAAGATTGCCATGATATCCTTGGTTTTGAACTCTGGTAACGGGGGGTCAGACGGCAGAGTGGACATCGCTCGGGATACGTAGTCATCAGGTTCCGGATTCGATACCCGGTGGAGGCAGAAACAAATGGGAAGAGGTTCATTCACCATGATGCACCTGTTCACCTAGCAGTAAATAGGTATCTGGGGGTTAGACAGCTACTACGGGCTGCTTCCTGAAGGTGCGTAACAAAAAGGAGGCCAAGTCGAGGACTGGGCCGCGGGGACGTTAAGCCCCGAAATCATCTCAAGACAACCTTAAGATGGCATAAGTTGGTAACTATCTTGCCTTAATACCTGTGAAAACCACCAATAATTGCCCGAAGGGTCTAGGATTGTGACTGAGGCTGTCTTTAGGGGCAATTAAGATGATGAATAACATCTCAGATGGATAATTTCGCTGTCAAGGAGTCGTCAACATTCTTCAAATCATCACGTGAATGAGCGCAATACGCCTAGGGTAAACTATATGACTGAATGTCTGTAAGTTTTCATTGATAGGCATTAAACTCAATGCAAATTTCTGCACATTTCGTGTCCTGAACTTATAGATAACGTTTCACCAAATGTGATTTGATATTTTTTACTAACGATCAAAATTAACCAAGTACCTAGAAAAATAATTCTTATAATCTCGGTAGCCAAAAAAAGTGCATGAAATAATCCTTGACGGCCGGACGCGACATTATGTATGTGTTTAAATTATACTTAAATTATTATACTCAAATTATACTCAAATGTGTATAAATTATACACAAATGTGTATAAATCATACACAAATTCATACCTGCAGGCAAACCTATGTGCGCAGACCTCCATCCTGAAAGTTAATTATTCATTCATGTTTCATTATATATTTCACAGCGGTCACTATAACTGAGCATTATTTACAAATATATGATATAGTTCCATCATATAACAAAACACATTCGCTCCCACAAAACACCGTATAGATACCATAGAAACATCAGCATTACCATCAAACATTGTTCCTACCAGAAAATACCAACTTTACCTTAGAGCACGACATTTTCACATAAAACTCCAATACCAACAGCACTTCCACACCATTCAATTGCCTGTGCACCATTATCTGGCTCGTGGCGTAAGCTTCCATTGCTGTCTGGTCATTGAAAAGTATCTCTTCAGCATTAGTGACATGGGTTGGTCTCCTTGTTCTCAGTTTTACGAGACTATGTAGTGGGTAAAATTGTCGAAAACTTCGGTATTTTTGGGGAGTACTGGTGACATATGTGTGTGTGTGTATTGGTGCAGTGTTGTAGTGGTGACACATGTGTGTGTGTACTGGTTCACCACTGGTATGTGAGTAGTGGTGATACAGAACTAATAGTTCACCACTGATTTACGTAATAATTCAATATTCCTGTTTCTCCTTGGAAATTCTTTTCAGTAAAACTAAGCAATCGTGAAGCATAGTTTCTCTCACATAGTGTTCACTAATGTGATGATTAGTTTTTTGGAACTAATTGATTAGTTCCATTAGAACTAATAGACGGATTGTTTTCCAAAGACCTGAGGAATACAAACCGGGTAATGGATTTTACTTCAATGTAAACATGTTTTCATTTTTGGTTCATGTTTTTTTTTTAGTTTTGTATTTTTCTGGTCATCGTTAAAAGTGGTTTTAATTGGGAGTATTTTATTTGATACAATAGATATGTTCGTTGGTTTAATATGTTGACTGTCAGCGTTAGTTTTGTCAGCAATAGTGTTAGTGTCAGCACTAGTGATAGTGTCAGCACTAGTGCCAGTGTCAGCACTAGTGATAGTGTCAGCACCAGTGATAGTGTTAGTGTCAGCACTAGTGATAGTGCCAGTGTCAGCACTAGTGATAGTGTCAGCACTAGTGCCAGTGTCAGTGTCAGCACCAGTGATAGTGTCAGTGTCAGCACTAGTGATAGTGCCAGTGTCAGCACCAGTGATAGGGCCAGTGTCAGCACTAGTGATAGTGTCAGTGTCAGCACTAGTGATAGTACCAGTGTCAGCACTAGTGATAGTGTCAGTGTCAGCACAAGTGATAGTGTCAGTGTCAGCACTAGTGATAGTGCCAGTGTCAGCACCAGTGATAGTGCCAGTGTCAGCACTAGTGATAGTGTCAGCACTAGTGATAGTGCCAGTGTCAGCACTAGTGATAGTGTCAGTGTCAGCACTAGTGATAGTGTCAGCACTAGTGATAGTGTCAGTGTCAGCACTAGTGATAGTGCCAGTGTCAGCACTAGTGATAGTGTCAGCACTAGTGATAGTACCAGTGTCAGCACCAGTGATAGTGTCAGTGTCAGCACTAGTGATAGTGTCAGCACTAGTGATAGTACCAGTGTCAGCACCAGTGATAGTGTCAGTGTCAGCACTAGTGATAGTGTCAGCACTAGTGATAGTGTCAGCACTAGTGATAGTACCAGTGTCAGCACCAGTGATAGTGTCAGTGTCAGCACCAGTGATAGTGCCAGTGTCAGCACCAGTGATAGTGCCAGTGTCAGCACTGGTGATAGTGTCAGTGTCAGTATTAGTGATAGTGTCAGTGTCAGCACTATTGTCAGTGTCAGCACTAGTGATAGTGTCAGTGTCAGCACCAGTGATAGTGCCAGTGTCAGGACTAGTGATAGTACCAGTGTCAGCACTAGTGATAGTGCCAGTGTCAGCACTAGTGATAGTGCCAGTGTCAGCACTAGTGATAGTGCCAGTGTCAGCACTAGTGATAGTGTCAGTGTCAGCACTATTGTCAGTGTTAGCACTAGTGTCAGTGTCAGCACTAGTGATAGTAACAGTGTCAGCACTAGTGATAGTGTCAGTGTCAGCACTATTGTCAGTGTCAGCACTAGTGTCAGTGTCAGCACTAGTGATAGTAACAGTGTCAGCACTAGTGATAGTACCAGTGTCAGCACCAGTGATAGTACCAGTGTCAGCACTAGTGATAGTGCCAGTGTCAGCACTAGTGATAGTACCAGTGTCAGCACTAGTGATAGTGCCAGTGTCAGCACTAGTGATAGTACCAGTGTCAGCACCAGTGATAGTGTCAGTGTCAGCACCAGTGATAGTGTCAGTGTCAGCACTAGTGATAGTGCCAGTGTCAGCACCAGTGATAGTGCCAGTGTCAGCACTAGTGATAGTGCCAGTGTCAGCACTAGTGATAGTGCCAGTGTCAGCACTAGTGATAGTGCCAGTGTCAGCACTAGTGATAGTGCCAGTGTCAGCACTAGTGATAGTGTCAGTGTCAGCACCAGTGATAGTGTCAGTGTCAGCACTAGTGATAGTGCCAGTGTCAGCACCAGTGATAGTGTTAGTGTCAGCACTAGTGATAGTGCCAGTGTCAGCACTAGTGATAGTGCCAGTGTCAGCACCAGTGATACTGCCAGTGTCAGCACTAGTGTCAGCACTAGTGATAGTGTCAGTGTCAGCACCAGTGATACTGCCAGTGTCAGCACCAGTGATAGTGCCAGTGTCAGCACTAGTGATAGTGTCAGCACTAGTGATAGTGCCAGTGTCAGCACTAGTGATAGTGTCAGCACTAGTGATAGTGTCAGCACTAGTGATAGTGCCAGTGTCAGCACCAGTGATAGTGCCAGTGTCAGCACTAGTGATAGTGCCAGTGTCAGCACCAGTGATAGTGCCAGTGTCAGCACTAGTGATAGTGCCAGTGTCAGCACCAGTGATAGTGCCAGTGTCAGCACTGGTGATAGTGTCAGCACTAGTGATAGTGTCAGTGTCAGCACTAGTGATAGTGTCAGCACTAGTGATAGTGTCAGCACTAGTGATAGTGTCAGCACTAGTGATAGTACCAGTGTCAGCACTAGTGATAGTGTCAGCACTAGTGATAGTACCAGTGTCAGCACTAGTGATAGTGTCAGTGTCAGCACTAGTGATAGTACCAGTGTCAGCACTAGTGATAGTGTCAGTGTCAGCACTAGTGATAGTGTCAGTGTCAGCACTAGTGATAGTGTCAGTGTCAGCACTAGTGATAGTACCAGTGTCAGCACTAGTGATAGTGCCAGTGTCAGCACTAGTGATAGTGTCAGTGTCAGCACTAGTGATAGTGTCAGTGTCAGCACCAGTGATAATACCAGTGTCAGCACTAGTGATAGTACCAGTGTCAGCACCAGTGATAGTGTCAGTGTCAGCACTAGTGATAGTGTCAGTGTCAGCACCAGTGATAGTACCAGTGTCAGCACTAGTGATAGTACCAGTGTCAGCACTAGTGATAGTGTCAGTGTCAGCACCAGTGATAGTACCAGTGTCAGCACCAGTGATAGTACCAGTGTCAGCACCAGTGATAGTGTCAGTGTCAGCACCAGTGATAGTACCAGTGTCAGCACTAGTGATAGTACCAGTGTCAGCACTAGTGATAGTACCAGTGTCAGCACTAGTGATAGTACTAGTGTCAGCACTAGTGATAGTACCAGTGTCAGCACTAGTGATAGTGCCAGTGTCAGCACTAGTGATAGTGCCAGTGTCAGCACTAGTGATAGTGTCAGTGTCAGCACTAGTGATAGTGCCAGTGTCAGCACTAGAGATAGTACCAGTGTCAGCACCAGTGATAGTACCAGTGTCAGCACTAGAGATAGTGCCAGTGTCAGTACTAGTGATACTGCCAGTGTCAGCACTAGTGATAGTACCAGTGTCAGCACTAGTGATAGTGCCAGTGTCAGCACTAGTGATACTGCCAGTGTCAGCACTAGTGATAGTACCAGTGTCAGCACTAGTGATAGTACCAGTGTCAGCACCAGTGATAGTGTCAGTGTCAGCACTAGAGATAGTACCAGTGTCAGCACTAGTGATACTGCCAGTGTCAGCACTAGTGATAGTGTCAGCACTAGTGATAGTGCCAGTGTCAGCACTAGTGATAGTGTCAGCACTAGTGATACTACCAGTGTCAGCACTAGTGATAGTGTCAGTGTCAGCACTAGTGATAGTACCAGTGTCAGCACTAGTGATAGTACCAGTGTCAGCACAAGTGATAGTGTCAGTGTCAGCACTAGTGATAGTGTCAGTGTCAGCACTAGTGATAGTGTCAGTGTCACCACTAGTGATAGTACCAGTGTCACCACTAGTGATAGTACCAGTGTCAGCACTAATGCCACTTGTACTGTCAGCACTAGTCTCACTAATGCTGTTAGCTACAGTTCCAGTAATACTGTCAGCAAGTCTCACTTATACTGTCAGCAAGAGTCTAATACTGTCAGCACTCGTGTCAGCAAGGGGTAGAGAGGCGCTCCTGCACCTCGGAGGAGCCCCTCTCTACCTCTGCTGGCATTTCAACCAATCCAACTTAATCGCTAACTACTTCACTTAGTTAACGGCAAAGTTAGCCGAGCTAAGTTGCCAAGCTAACTTGAACCCTGCTCGTTACTTCACGGTAAAGATTTATTCAGGCACTCACGCTCGCACTCAGAAACGCACTCATGCGCACTCATACACGCACTAACACACACCCATGATCACCAGATACAAAATTTACGTGAATTTGCATAATAGGTAAAGACAGATTATTTAACACGGGAGGAACACGCACAAGGTGACACAGGTGGAAACTGAGTACCCAGATGAACCACAGAGACATTACAAATAACTTTTCAGTGTCAAACTAGTTACCAATTGATTTGTACTAGGAAATGATGCGATGGAGATGGACTCCATACACAGTTACATCTAAACGTATGTTAGAGCCCAATAGGGTCAGGAACCTGTTCATGAGTTGATTGATGGTTGAGAGTCGGGACCAAGGAGCCAAAGCTCAACCCACCACAAGCACAACTAGGTGAGTACCCGCCCCCCCCCCCCCCGGTAAGGCCAAAAAACGACCCCAAGTCTGAGGGAAGTAGCGAGTGAGCACTGTTAGAAGCGAGTAGGTACCACCAGAAACTTCACTATCAGAGAATCTATTAAAGACGGGAAAATTCAGTAGATAAGATGGCTCCTGGATACCTTTCCAGGAGCCTTAAACTATAACTCCCTTACCCTCAGATTTTGCCTTCAAAACACGTTCTTATCCACTCGAAAATATTTGCAAATTACAAAGATAGTCTCATGCTTGCCCTAATTGGTTTAGTGAGTCAGACACATAGAAAACGGATGCTTAAAAACATTTCGGATGCAAAGATTTGAGGTTGAAAACCTTTCTTTAAAATGAAAGAAAAGTGGAGATTGTTTGCAAAATTGTTCAGTAAAATTTCGCATTCATCTTAATTAATTGGAAATTTCATGATAACTTTCACAATCCTGTGATGGAGGCGACAGTCCAGAAAAGATTTAAGAAAAAATAGTTTTGATCGATTGATCAAACTGATCAATTGATTGATCAATCGTTTAATGATTGATTTTGTCACCGTTACTGAATGTTCTTTTCACCGTTAAAGAATGATCTTGTCACCGTTAAAGAATGTTCTTGTCACCGTTAAGGAATGTTCTTGTCACCGTTAAAGAATGTTCTTGTCCCCGTTAAAAAATGATCTTGTCACCGTTAAAGAAAGATCTTGTCACCGTTAAAGAATGATCTTGTCACCGTTAAAGAATGTTCTTGTCACCGTTAAAGAATGTTCTTGTCACCGTTACAGAATGATCTTGTCACCGTTAAAGAATGATCTTGTCACCGTTAAAGAATGATTTTGTCACCGTTAAAGAATGATCTTGTCACCGTTAAAGAATGATCTTGTCACCATTAAAGAATATTCTTGTCACCGTTAAAGAATGATCTTGTCACCGTTAAAGTATGATCTTGTCACCATTAAAGAATATTCTTGTCACCGTTAAAGAATGATCTTGTCACCGTTAAAGAATGATCTTGTCACCATTAAAGAATATTCTTGTCACCGTTAAAGAATGATCTTGTCACCGTTAAAGAATGATCTTGTCACCATTAAAGAATATTCTTGTCACCGTTAAAGAATGATCTTGTCACCATTAAAGAATATTCTTGTCACCGTTAAAGAATGATCTTGTCACCGTTAAAGAATGATCTTGTCACCGTTAAAGAATGATCTTGTCACCATTAAAGAATATTCTTGTCACCGTTAAAGAATGATCTTGTCACCGTTAAAGAATGATCTTGTCACCATTAAAGAATATTCTTGTCACCGTTAAAGAATGATCTTGTCACCGTTAAAGAATGATCTTGTCACCGTTAAAGAATGATCTTGTCACCATTAAAGAATATTCTTGTCACCGTTAAAGAATGATCTTGTCACCGTTAAAGAATGATCTTGTCACCATTAAAGAATATTCTTGTCACCGTTAAAGAATGATCTTGTCACCATTAAAGAATATTCTTGTCACCGTTAAAGAATGATCTTGTCACCGTTAAAGAATGATCTTGTCACCGTTAAAGAATGATCTTGTCACCATTAAAGAATATTCTTGTCACCGTTAAAGAATGTTCTTGTCACCGTTAAAGAATGATTTTGTCACCGCTAAAGAATGATCTCGTCACCGTTAAAGAATGATCTTGTCACCATTAAAGAATGATCTTGTCACCATTAAAGAATGATCTTGTCACCATTAAAGAATGATCTTGTCACCATTAAAGAATGATCTTGTCACCGTTAAAGAATGATCTCGTCACCGTTAAAGAATGATCTTGTCACCATTAAAGAATGATCTTGTCACCTTTAAAGAATGATCTTATCACCATTAAAGAATGATCTTGTCACCATTAAAGAATGTTCTTGTCACCGTTAAAGAATGATCTCGTCACCGTTAAAGAATGATCTTGTCACCATTAAAGAATGATCTTGTCACCTTTAAAGAATGATCTTGTCACCATTAAAGAATGTTCTTGTCACCGTTAAAGAATGATTTTGTCACCATTAAAGAATAATCTTGTCACCGTTAAAGAATGTTCTTGTCACCGTTACTGAATGTTCTTGTCACCGTTAAAGAATGATCTTGTCACCGTTAAAGAATATTCTTGTCACCGTTAAAGAATGATCTCGTCACCATTAAAGAATGATCTTGTCACCATTAAAGAATATTCTTGTCACCGTTAAAGAATGATCTTGTCACCGTTAAAGAATGATCTTGTCACCGTTAAAGAATGATCTTGTCACCGTTAAAGAATGATCTTGTCACCGTTAAAGAATGATCTTGTCACCGTTAAAGAATGATCTTGTCACCGTTAAAGAATGATCTTGTCACCGTTAAAGAATGATCTTGTCACCGTTAAAGAATGATCTTGTCACCGTTAAGGATATATTCTCTTCCGAGAAACGAGCTCTGAATTATTGAGAATAAATCCCGTCCTGTGAACCTTAAATACATTTATGAGATTGAGGAGGCGAGGCTGCCTCACTTGTGGTCACCCAGCAATATGCCTGGATTGTTGCACCACCTCACTCACTGAGCTCACCATAGCCCGTGCTACTTGGAACTTTTTGGTCCAAGTAGCGAATCTTAAACAACAACAACAACACCTCACTCTGACACACTCACACTGACACTACATGCTGTTTAGAAAGTAGCAAAACAGTCCAGTGTCAGAGGGGAGGTGTTTCAACAGTCCAGTGTGACAGGGGAAGTGTTTCAACAGTCTAGTGTGACAGGGGAGGTGTTTCAACAGTCTAGTGTGACAGGGGAAGTGTTTCAACAGTCCAGTGTGACAGGGGAAGTGTTTCAACAGTCTAGTGTGACAGGGGAGGTGTTTCAACAGTCTAGTGTGACAGGGGAGGTGTTTCAACAGTCTAGTGTGACAGGGGAGGTGTTTCAACAGTCTAGTGTGACAGGGAAAGTGTTTCAACAGTCTAGTGTGACAGGGGAAGTGTTACAACAGTCTAGTGTGACAGGGGAGGTGTTTCAACAGTCTAGTGTGACAGGGGAGGTGTTTCAACAGTCCAGTGTGACAGGGGAAGTGTTTCAACAGTCTAGTGTGACAGGGGAAGTGTTTCAACAGTCTAGTGTGACAGGGGAAGTGTTTCAACAGTCCAGTGTGACAGGGGAGGTGTTTCAACAGTCTAGTGTGACAGGGGAAGTGTTTCAACAGTCCAGTGTGACAGGGGAGGTGTTTCAACAGTCTAGTGTGACAGGGGAGGTGTTTCAACAGTCCAGTGTGACAGGGGAGTTGTTTCAACAGTCTAGTGTGACAGGGGAGGTGTTTCAACAGTCCAGTGTGACAGGGGAAGTGTTTCAACAGTCCAGTGTGACAGGGGAGTTGTTTCAACAGTCTAGTGTGACAGGGGAGGTGTTTCAACAGTCTAGTGTGACAGGGGAAGTGTTTCAACAGTCCAGTGTGACAGGGGAGGTGTTTCAACAGTCTAGTGTGACAGGGGAGGTGTTTCAACAGTCTAGTGTGACAGGGGAGGTGTTTCAACAGTCTAGTGTGACAAGGGAAGTGTTTCAACAGTTGAGGAAAGTAGAAAAATTAATTGAACACGAAGCGAACAATGGAAATAAATGTTGACAATTATAACATTGGAAAAGGCGTCACTAATGACCAAATAACATGTAAACGATAAAGAATACGGCTTAAGGTAAATATTAAATGATTCCTTATCACCAGGAAACACACGTAGGAGCAAAAAATCATAAAATTTTAACATTTTGACAACGCTTAGAATATCCTTAAAGTAGATTGAAAAATAAATAATTCGCAACGTATGTGATACCTAGACTGAGGTATGAAGCTGTGGTATGGTGGTTGTTATCTTGAGGTTATCTTGAGATGATTTCATGGCTTTGCGTCCCCTCGGCCCGGTCCTCAACGAGGCCTCCTTTTTGTTACGCATCCTAAGGAAGCAGCCCGTAGCAGCTGTCTAACTCCCAGGTACTTATTTACTGCTAGGTGAACAGGGAATCAGAGTGAAAGAAACTTTGCCCATTTGTTTCCGCCTCCACCGGGGATCGAATCCGGAACCTCAGGACTACGAATCCCGAACGCTGTCCACTCAGCTGTCAGGCCCCTATAAGTACAAATATAACATAATTATGTACAAAGTAATGCAACGAAATGGAGTCTAAAATTAGGAATTGTGATAAAGATAAAAGGTAAAGATAATAAGTTAACAAAAGTTGTTAATAAATACGTGAAGGTACGCAGGGAAACTTTTCTGGAAAGAAATTAAGGAAACTAGAAATCGTTGTTAAAAACTTTTAAGTAGAAAAGATAAATTGAAGCACTTTTTTTACAAGAAGAGTTTAGAACCGTCGGAATAAATTCTGGGAAGAACTTTTGGGGGCAGCAAAGTTCGTGGGATGTAATTAGAACTACTTATTATTGGATATACAAGTATTGTGAGCATATTTCTCTATCTGCAAGCGCGCACATACACACAAACGCGCACACACGCACACACACACACGCACACACGGACACACACACACACACACACACACACACACACACACACACACACACACACACACACACACACACACACACACACACACACACACACACACACACATACAGAAACGGACAGAGAGAAAGATCTAGGAGTTAATATCACGCCAAACCTGTCTCCTGAAGCCCACATAAAGAGAATAACGTCTGCGGCATATGTGAGGCTGGCTAACATCAGAACTGCCTTCAGGAACCTGTGTAAGGAATCTTGTACACCACATATGTAAGACCAATCCTGGAGTATGCGGCTCCAACATGGAGCCCGTACCTTGTCAAGCACAAGACGAATCTGGAAAAAGTTCAGAGGTATGTCATTAGGCTAGTCCCAGAACTAAGAGGCATGAGTTACGAGGAAAGGCTGCGTGAAATGCACCTCATGACACTGGAAGACAGAAGAGTAAAGGGAGACATGATCACTACCTGCAAAATTCTCAGGGGAATTGACAAGGTAGATAAGGATCAATTATTTAACACGAGAGGTACTCGAACAAGGGGACACAGGTGGAGACTGAGTACCCAAATAAGCCACAGTGACGTTAGAAGGAACTTTTTCAGTGTCAGAGTAGTTAACAGATGGAATGCACTAGGCAGTGATGTGGTGGAGGCTGACTCCATACACAGTTTCAAATGTAGATATGATAGAGCCCAGTAGGCTCAGGAACCTGTACACCAGTTGATTGACAGTTGAGAGGCGGGACCAAAGAGCCAGAGCTCAACCCCCGCAAGCACAACTAGGTGGGGTACAAATAGGTGAGTACGGAACTTCGCAGCTGAGTGGACAGCGCTCTGGGGTCTTAGTCCTAAGGAATCGGGTTCGATTCCCGAGCGTGTGTTTGCTGTGAGAGAGGACCTGGGGGAGGACGTGTGAGTACTGGGATGGAGGAGAAAGTGGAGACGTTGTGTGCTGTGAGGAGATGAGGAGTGTACGTGGTAGGACATGAGGAATGTACGTGGGAGGACATGAGGAGTGTACGTGGGAGGACATGTGGAGTGTACGTGGGAGGACATGTGGAGTGTACGTGGGAGGACATGAGGAGTGTACGTGGGAGGACATGAGGAGTGTACGTGGGAGGACATGTGGAGTGTACGTGGGAGGACATGAGGAGTGTGTGAGGACAAATAGATGGGGAGGGTGTACGGAGAGCATGGGAAGAAACTATCAACTATCAATCAACAGTAGAGAGGCGAGACCAAAGATGCGAGGCTCAACCCCCTGATCACCCTCAACACATACACACACACACACACAAACACGCACATATTATAAATATATATATATATATATATATATATATATATATATATATATATATATATATATATATATATATATATATATATATATATATATATATATATACACAACAACTCTAGCTGTACCCGGCGTGGCCGGGTACAGCTAGAGTTGTTGTGGCTCAGCAACACATGTGCGTTGCTGAGCCACAGCAACCCTCCTCTGTCCCCTCCCCCCCCCCCCCGTCTTCCCCACCATTCCCCCCCTCCCAAGTCCCTCGTCCTCCTAAACATCCCCCACTCCCCTGTCCCCTTGTCCTCCCCTCCATTCCCCACTCCCTCTTCCGACGTGTTCCTAAATGATCTGATGTTCCCATCACTGAAAAATAAGAACAGACAAAAAAACGACATGAAAAATAATAAAAAAAAATAAACAAAATAAACTATACTCACAAAATGAACGGTAAACAACACAGCTCAATTCCAACGCAATGTCACACAACATAATTAGATCAAAATGAAAATAAATCGACATCTATGAAAATTTAATTTATCAATGGAATCGGAAACATTGAAATGGAATCGTAACATATTTAGTATAACGTGTGTTGCTTTTACGTCCTTAATTTAAATGCATGTCCCAAAATCAAACCACACATTCCCTCCCCACAACTCTCCCTGTCCATAATTCTCCCTCCCCCACCACTTACCCTCCACCCATTCGCATCCCCCCACACACTTCCCCCCCTCCCCCTTCCTTCCCCCTCCCTGGAGAGGGAGGGAGAAGGGGGCGAAGCTCCTCCCTGCTGTAAATGAAAGAGTCTCGACCATGGAAGTAAAGAACTCCAGCTCTATAAATCAAGTCCGTGACAAAAATCCTGAGAGGTTAAATGATGGAGACTGAAAATGACGTATAGTGGGTCGAGGAACCTTGCCTGAAAATGAATGCCAGACACAGACCGCTAGAACAGCTCTCTCTCTCTCTCTCTCTCTCTCTCTCTCTCTCTCTCTCTCTCTCTCTCTCTCTCTCTCTCTCTCTCTCTCTCTCTCTCTCTCTCTGCTTCTTGAGCCGGATAATCTAGCGAAGTGGCACGAAAAGTGCCGGGTTAATATGATAGCATTGCACTACGACCAACCGGATATGATAACGTGGCTCTATAACCGGCTGGATAATATGATCGCTTGGCACTACGATCAGCCGGATAATTTGGCACTGTGGCACTTCATTCGGCCGGATAATATAGCGTCGTGTTCGGTCTCAACTAGACAGGCTCTCCGGGTCAAGAATCTGCTCTTGAGCCCCGAATTTGGACTATCAGTAAGTCAATCCCGTGACTTTTCAAACAAAAATTTCGTCCTATTCACTTCTAAAACTATGAATTGAATTGGCTTCAACAACTTGGCTTCAACAACTTATTCGTCAATTCCATTCCACTCGTTTACGACTCCAGAATTGACAGTTACCCTTATCACATTAATGGGACAAATTATAAATTATATTCCGTCGTTCTACTGTTTCTCACTCTGAATATTATTTGCTTCTCTACTCAGGTGGGTACAGGAACAGACGACTGCTAACTCCTGTAATTAGACAGTTAAGGATGAGAGTTTTTTCATCATATAGTTCATGATAAGTTTCTATATCTACTTTTTAATTCCACTCAGTATTTTGTACGTCGTTATCATATCTACTCTATTCTGTCTCTGCTCCAGTACAGTAAGGTCCAGTTCCATAAGACTTTCTGTATAGCTCAGTCCCCTTAGCACAGAAACATGACTTGTTGCATATCTTTGCACATTTTTCTACTATAATTATATCTTTCTTGAAATAGTGGTTCCGTGCCTGAGCAGCGCACTCAGAGGATATACACAGCGCTCGGAAATGTTCTTCGTCCAAGTTTCTGAAGGAAAACTGGACGTTTGTAAGTATGATATATTCTATGATATCGTTATTCTGTTGATGTGTGCCTCTCGTGTTTGATCACGTGTTGTGTCCACTCCAAAGTGGACATAACATAGTGGACTCATACTGGACTCATAGTGGACTCATAGTGAACTCTTTTACAAAGTGGGACCTTGCCTTTTTTTCGACCTGTCTTGTATTTAAGACTTTCTTGTCCTAATTAGTATCCACATAACCTTACATTTGCCTGGGTTAAGGTCTAGTGGCCATTTCCCAGACCATGTCTAGAGATTGTCTAGTTCATCTTACAGTGCCCCCCAACCACTTGGGCTGGGCTGTAGATCGACGGACTCGCTTCTTGGAGGTCGGCGTTCAGTCCCCTAATTCTCCAAGTGGTTGGGCACTATTCCTTCCATCCGTCCTCTTACAAATCCTTATCCTAATCCCTCACAAGGTTCTGAATAATTCCTTGCACAAGTTTGTAAAGATAGTTCTTATGTTTGCCAATCTAGCATATGCCGCTGATGATATCCTCTTGATGTTGGCTTCTGGGAACAGGTTCGGTTTGATATCAAATCCCAGATCTTTCTTTCTTTCTTTCTTTTTACTTACTCTTGCAGGATTTCATCTCCCAGATGGTACCTTGTGTTCGGCCTCTTGCTCACTTCGTCTAATTTCATTACTTTACATTTACCTGAGGTAAATGTGTGTGTGTGTGTGTGTGTGTGTGTGTGTGTGTGTGTGTGTGTGTGTGTGTGTGTGTGTGTGTGTGTGTGTGTGTGTGTGTGTGTGTTTGTGTGTGTGTTCTCACCTAGTTGTGCTTACGGGGGGGGATTGAGTTTCGGCTCTTTGGTCCCGCCTCTCAACTGTCAATCTACTGGTGTACAGATTCTTGAGCCTACTGGGCTCTATCATATCTACATTTGAAACTGGGTATGGAGTCAGCCTCCACCACATCACTTTCTAGTGCATTCTATTTAATAACTACTCTGACACTGAAAACGTTCTTTCTAAGGTCTCTGTGGCTCATTTGGATACTCAGCTTCCACCTGTGTCCCCTTGTGAGTGTACCACCCATATTAAATAATTCATCCTGGTCTTCCCTGTAAATACCTCTGAGAATGTTGTATGTAGTGATCATGTCTCCCCGAGCTCTCCTATCTTCCAGCGACGCAAGGTGCAATTCACGCAGCCTTTCCTCGTAACTCATGCCTCTTAATTATGGAAATAGCTTAGTGGCTTCGTCTTGTGCTTGGCAAGGTACGGGCTCCACGCAAGGGGCGCATACTCCAGGATTGGCCTTACATATGCAGTGTACAAGGTTCTAAATCATTACTTACACAGATTTCTGAAGGTAGTTCTGATGTTAGCCAGCCATTCATACGCCGCTGATGTTATTCTTTTGATGTGGGCTTCAGGAGACAGGTTTGGCTTGATATCAACTCTTTGATCTTTCTCTCTGTCCGTTTCATGAAGTACTTCATTTCCTATTCTGTATCCTGTGTCTGGCTTCCTGTTTTCTCCGCCCAGTTTCATTACCTTAGAAATAATTGGGTTGAACTTTAGTAGCATTTGTTAAACCACTCCTTCATTTTGTCTAGGTCATCTTGTAGCCTCATACTATCTTCCTCTGTCTTCATCCTCCTCATAATTTTTGAGTCATCAGCAAATATCGAGAGGCAAATATGATCCTATTCCCTCTGGGAGATCATTTATATATATCGGAAATAGTATAGGTTCAGGAACTGATCCCTGAGGGACTCCACTGGTGACGCCTCGCCAATCTGAGGCCTCACCCCTCACAGTGACTCGTAGTCTTCTGTTGCTTAGGTACTCCCTTATTCAATAGAGTACCTTCCTTTTTACTCCTACCTGCATCTCCAGCCTTTTCACTAGCGTCTTATCTGGTACTGTGTCAAAGGCTTTCTGGCAATCCCAATAATGTGTGTGTGTGTGTGTGTGTGTGTGTGTGTGTGTGTGTGTGTGTGTGTGTGTGTGTGTGTGTGTGTGTGTGTGTGTGTGTGTGTGTGTGTGTGTCTGTGTGTGTGTGTGTACTCACCTAGTTGTACTCACCTAGTTGTGTTTCCGAGGTTGAGCTCTGGCTCTTTGGTCCCGCCTCTCAACCATGAATCAACAGGTGTACGGATTCCTGAGCCTATTGGGCAGTATCATATCTTCACTTGAAACTGTGTATGGAGTCAGCCTCCACCACATCACTTCCTAATGCATTCCATTTGTCAACCACTCTGACACTAAAAAAGTTCTTTCTAATATCTCTGTGGCTCCTTTGGGCACTCAGTTTCCACCTGTGTCCCCTAGTGCGTGTGCCCCTTGTGTTAAACAGCCTGTCTTTATCTACTCTATCAATTCCCTTCAGAATCTTGAATGTGGTGATCATATCCCCCTAACTCTTTTGTCTTCCAGCGAAGTGAGGTTTAATTCCCGTAGTCTCTCCTCGTAGCTCATACCTCTCAGCTCAGGTACTAGTCTGGTGGCAAACCTTTGAACCTTTTCCAGTTTAGTCTTATCCTTGACTAGATATGGACTCCATGCTGGGGCTGCATACTCCAGGATTGGCCTGACATATGTGGTATACAAAATTCTGAATGATTCTTTACACAAGTTTCTGAATGCCGTTCGTATGTTGGCCAGCCTGGCATATGTCGCTGATGTTATCCTCTTGATGTGTGCTGCAGGAGACAGGTCTGGCGTGATATCAACCCCCAAGTCTTTTTCTTTCTCTGACTCCTGAAAAATTTCCTCTCCCAGATGATACCTTGTATCATCCTTGATACCTTGTGATACCTCCTGCTCCCTACACCTATCTTCATTACATTAAATATGGTTGGGTTAAACTAACAACCATTTGTTCGACCATTCCTTCAGCTTGTGTAGGTCTTCTTGAAGCCTCAAACAGTCCTCTTCTGTCATAATCCTTCTCATAATTTTGGCATCGTCCGCAAACATTGAGAGAAATGAATCGATACCCTCTGGGAGATCATTTACATATATCAGAAACATGATAGGACCGAGTACAGAGTCCTGTCGGACTCCACTGGTGACTTCACGCCAATCAGAGGTCTCACCCATCACCGTAACTCTCTGCTTCCTATTGCTTAGGTACTCCCTTATCCACTGGAACACCTTACCAGCTACACCTTCCTGTCTCTCAAGCTTATGTACCAGCCTCTTATGCGGTACTGTGTCAAAGGCTTTCCGACAATCCAAGAAAATGCAGTCCGCCCAGCCCTCTCTTTCTTGCTTAATCTTTGTCACCTGGTCGTAGAATTCTATTAAGCCAGTCAGGCAAGATTTACCCTCCCTGAACCCATGTTGGCGATTTGTCACAAAGTCCCTTATCTCCAGATGTGGTACCAGTTTTTTTCTCACAATCTTCTCCATCACCTTGCATGCTATACAAGTCAAGGACACTGGCCTGTAGTTCAGTGCCTCTTGCCTGTCGCCCTTTTTGTATATTTGGGACCACATTCGCCGTCTTCCATATTTCTAGTAGGTCTCCCGTCTCCAGTGACTTACTATACACTATGGAGAGTGGCAAGCAAAGTGCCTCTGCACACTCTTTCAGTACCCATGGTGAGATCCCGTCTGGACTAACAGCCTTTCTAACATCCAGATCTAGCAGGTGTCTCGTGACCTCCTCTCTCGTAATTTCGAACTCTTCCAAGGCCGCCTGGTTTACCTCCCTTTCTCCTAGCACAGTGACCTCACCTTGTTCTATTGTGAAGACCTCCTGGAACCTCTTGTTGAGTTCTTCACACAGCTCTTTGTCATTCTCTGTATACCTGTCCTCGCCTGTT